GTTCATAGCTTTTGAGAGAACCTTGCTTGAACATTAAGGAAAGTTCTAGGAATGTTCCCTAGGAATGTTAGCTGGACAAACAGACAGACAGACTCAATAAAATTTACATTTAGTTATCAAGCCTACATGTGAAAGTCAGTTATAGAGTTAGCCTGGTAACAACGTCCCTGACGAGTCCTTATTGAGCTGTGGGCTTAAGACTGCTTCAGGCTTCACTGATTATAATCACTATATAGGAAACTGATGAGAGAACATAACTTCCATATTGTTATTCTCTGTGGTCTTTTGAAGTGCTTCGCACGTTCTCGCTTGAGATTGTATTTTCATAACTGTCTATGAATGGCAAACCCATTGCTTTAAACAAGCTCGTGGTCTGACTCCGAGTTTTTTTGGCCTATTAAACGGGCCCTTCCCATACAGTTATTCTACTAATAAATTTCTCATGGAGTCTAAATGCTATCAAAGTTTAAGAGCAAGCTGTGTGCTAACAAGATTTCAGTTTTTCAGTAAGCCATTTTAATATGGGAAAGGCTAGACGGAAATGGACAGCACTCTTCAAGTAATTGATTTATCAGATCCTAGCAAAGCTTTCTACTGAACGCCTTGCAGATTATTGCAGTTTTGTATTATGAAAAAAAAAGCTAATTTTCTCTGGGGGTTTCTGCCATGCAAGGCTGTTAAATGACACTTTAATATTACACTCAATAGATGAAATAATGCATCAACACTTTTAAGATCTATAAAGGTTATAGCTTTAAGCTTTCACAGTCAGCATAAAATCTTGCAACACAGCTTAATAGTATTGCAAATTGCTCTGTAACTTATTCGGTCCTCATTTTCTGGGATAATACTTCATTTCAAATGAGAGAATGTAAGTTTTATGTGTATTGACCAGGTTTTAATGCCTTATTGAGAATCCTTGACTCTGCTTCTGAAATGCCACTATGTAAAGATTACAGTATGAGTGAGTCTGGCTGTTGAGGTGTTGCTGAAAGCATCATGTGGGTTACAGTATATCAGGCTCACACTTACCTCAATGTCTCTCTCCTCTTTTCCCGGGGTGTCACTGTCTGAAACCTGCATGTGAAGGTCCAGAGCAGTATGAGAATGACTACTGAGAAACAGTAGAGCCACCTGCTCGTCTCCTCTCTCCCTTCATTTCTTCATCCCATCTCCTTCCATGGGCCAAAACCAAAGACTGTATCTGGGGAAGGTCTTTTCCACACAAAAATCCACCTTGTTCCTGGTTCCCCAACCCTCTAAATGTCACCACCATTGAAGCCCCATGCTTTTTAACCCCTGAGCATTGTGCAAACCTCAAATAGTTTGCGATAATATCATTTTGTTTTTTGGTCTATAATAACTGGAGAAATCCACCGTTAGCATTCCTGTTTGTCTTAATGACAGCTGCTTGCCTGGCACGGGAAGTATGTGAATTATTAAATTATGCCATCTTTGCTCACGAGTGCTCAATTCTACAGCCAAGTTTTTTTTGAGCCAATCATCTGAGCCATACAATTCTTTCTGTCTGACTAATTACTCTAGAGCTGCAGGAAAATGATGTCACCGTTACGCTGATTGGCTGATGGAAGCACAATATGTGCTTAAAGAGCCTTTTGAAATTGATCAGTCACTCCACCGTCTTTTGGAATGCTGAAGTAAGCTATTACTATAGGTAAATAACTAGAAGACAAACAGTATGATGGACTGTTTTTGTACAACTAGAATAACTGGAAGCAGATAACACCGGAAATGGCTTCCTAACATTCTGTCGGAACATATCGACACTATATCGGCTAACTAAGCCATGCTAACCAGCTAAACCTCGACCCCTTGGTCTAAACTAAGCTAATCACAATAACTCCCTTCCTTTCTGCTCTGACTTTGTGCCTTTTTCTCTTTGCCATTTCCTTCTCTCTCTAACGCCTGCTCACTTGGTGGTGGTGACTGAAAAAGATGGCAACCGATCTAATTCCCCCATGTTCCCATAGTACAACAGTTACCCTCCAGCCCCTACCAAAACTACGGCCCCGCCACCAACTATGAGGACGAGGAGGATGACGAGGACCCTTACCGTGGCTACCGTGCTTACCCTCCTCAGTACCACCCTGACCCCCATGCCTTCAGGCCTGGCCCCGCCCACCCTGTTGACACGGTGGGCATGAGGTCACCTGGCACACGTCGCTTTTCCCGCAGCACGGCCGAAGAGGGGAGCATCGGTGAGTCGGAAGTACAAGTGAAGGCCAAGTAGCCTGGCTGGCCAGCAAACCAACCGTCCACACACACACTTTTCATCAGAATATCCTGCAGGATAGAACTGAGGGAAATCCGAAAAAAAAAGTGCCTGCTATATGCATCCTTATTTGGGGTGGGTGTTTGTGGAAGATTAGAAAACGAAACTGTGCCGATATTCATTCGGTGACTTTTTGTCTTTTCTGCCGCTGCATGTAGCCAATGAGATCTTAAAAAAAAAAAAATCTTAGTAGTTTTGTCTTGATGTCCAGTAAAACATTCTTTAAAAAAGAGATGCATTAGCATGAAGCAAAACTGTGTTGGATAATACATTTATTAATTCATTAAATTAACCCCACCTCCCCCACAAAATATATTTATATTAAATCACTTATTTTTACCTTTTTTGTTTCTAGTGGTTTATCTTTTATATATTTGAAAATATATAATAAAATATATTGGCCATATATATATATATATATATATATATATATATATACACTGTAAAAATATTTTCAAGATTTGTTATCACAACATATTTTCTTTTGTCAAATCAACTTTATAATAATTTATTTAGTTGAGATAACTTATTATTTTGAGTTTCTGATGGTTAAATTAATCTCCTTCATTGTATTAACTCACTTTTTCCAGTTCAATGAACTTAAAATATTAAGGCAACCAGGTTACTTACTTTAAGTTAAACCATCAATATTTTTTTACAGTGTATATATATATATATATATATATATATATATATATACTTTTAATATTTTACACACTATTGCTCTTTACATAGATGTAGCTTTTTTTAAAGGATGTTTTCTCATATTATTGGAAATCAACAAAAACGATTAACAAAAGGATTATTGCAGCGCAGTGGTTTTCAATTGTGTAGTCCATAACTTTTGTAAATGATAATGGGGGGTGTGTCTGTACAGTTTGTGTATTTTTTAAAGTGCATATTAGTGACCTGCTATATTACAATTTTCACAAATGTTTACAGCATTTTGCAGTTATCTGGACCTGGCTGTTTAAGTTATTTTATTTAGAGAAGGAAAATACCTCCGTTGATGCTTTTGATGTTCTTGTCACTAGCAGTCAGTTATGAAAAGCTGAATTCTTAAATCACACGTATTAATGAACCAAACGTAATCTCCTAATTATTCATTGGTCCGTCACAGTAACACCACACAATTTGTCTGGATCGTAATTGTATTATCACACATTTATGTGGACTTCCTTTACACATGGGTCTTGTAAGATGAAGTGTCATGCGGCTCTCAAACTGTTTTTCTATAAAAGAGCTTAGCATGGCATCCTTTCGTGTCTCTGTGGTCCTGTTTCTCACTGTGAAGAGACCCGAAGAGTTAAGAGTTAGGCCTGTGGTCTACCGTCCTTTTAGAAGGAATCAAACTGCATGTGGAGTGGAAAGACACATCACCAGACCTTTGAATCTACAAAGTAATTTATTTTTACTTTATTTGTTTTTGTAACCAATAAAACCGTACTGCAACAATGACTCGAGATGATGTCTCGTCTGGCCGTAGTGGTTTTCTGTTCCGTCTTGCTGCTAATTGGTCGCCCACAGACAGTTTTAGAAACGACATTTTACATTTAAAACAACATATTTTCTTTTGAATAAACATGTTTGGTATTAATGAGCTCAAATAATGGACATGCACTGCCTTGTAAATTCATTCGTTTACAAGCAAACTCACTTTAACCTGTACTTCATAAATGAAACCTCGCAACAAACACCAAGGGCGTTTCACTTCTATAAGTTAAGCAGACTTCAAAAAGCCTAAAGAAGCAACAGAAAGGGCTTATAGAGCCATATGAAGTTAATTAGGGCCGAATTAGAGCTGAAACAGGCTTCAGAGAGTCTGTTAAAGCCATTTGTGGAACTAGCAATGGCCAACGAATCAGAGCTTTATTACTACAGTCACAGCTAAATGAATAGGGCTGCAGTTTGACTACCTCTCTGCCTCGTCCCAGGTTTCACAGACAAGGCTTAATATATTCCCAGACTAAAATGCACCTTTGAGCTGTTTTATCTGAAAGAAACTTGCACTGACATATCTTAAAATGTGCAAGTGCCATTGTTTTGTCTCAAGATGCACACCAGTAATGTTTGTTTCAAAAACTACTTATGTCCTAATTGAACTAAGGCCTAGTCCTGGCTTAAAGGGGCCATGAACCGGCTTTTAATTTTTTTTTTTATATTGTTGTCCGAGGTCAACTTATGACGTTCGCTTGGTTTTTAAATTAAAAAACATCAAAAAGAATAAGTAATAGGCTATTTTCTATCCTAGTTTTGAGCCTAGCTCAAAAACGCTCGGTTTTTATGGGCGTTTCGCACTGAAGACTTGGAAGACTTGGCTATGCGTGTAATGCGCGAATCGGTGGGCAGGGCTAAACCGGTCGTGTTGAAGTAGGCGTTGATCTTCTTCTGCGGGGGTGGTGTTTTATCCTCTTTGACGTCATAGTTCCCCACTTTGAAAAACGAGTCGTTTGCGGAGCCTGGTGTCAATAAAAGCTTTTATTGGACTAACAAGAACGTTTTCAGTTCTGAAACTTACAGGATATTCTTATAATATGATGACCTCTTAGATGTCAAAAGCTCAAGGAAAATTTGATTTCTCAGTTCATCACCCTTTTAATCTAAGCCATGTTCGTGAAACAGGGCCTTTGTCAAAATAATTAATCTCTATATGGTATGTTATGTGTTTGTGGTTAAATATTAAACATACCAAAAGTTGACAAATGAATGATTTATGAGACATAATTTATTTCATATTAACAATATAAAACAAGGACATTTCCAAGTCCCAAACTCCTAGACAAAGTAAGACACACAATCTGGGGAAACTGCATTATGATGCTCATTTCATCCTGTAGTCTTCTGGCCTGTGAACAAAATAGACATAAAAATTAACTTTATATTCAAAATCCATATTATACTGTAAAGACTGGGAGATATGAAGGCTACACTAAGGGCAATAATTGAAATTCATGTGAATGAAAAACAGGATCTTAGATCTTATCTTAGTGTCGGTTTGTACTACATTCATTGACTTTCAATCTGGAAATAAAAAGAACGAATCACTGAATATGTTGATTTATTTCCAGCCATACTAAATTTTAACTAAACAGTTTCTCCGCGTAGATTACTATACTCTTATTGCTTGAAAAAAAAAAAAAAAAAACAATATTGTTTTCATTTGAGGATGGTGCATTTAAAGATTGCCAGAAGAGAGCCTGTGTAACTGGACATGACATCCAATACTGCCTCTCATTTACATGACAATTGATTATATTGTTACAGTTTAAAAAAAAAATAATAATAAAAAAGTTTTTGTCTTTTAAAAAACAAATTCATGATTTTACAAAATCATGACTTAATTTAGTTTATTTATTTAATTGTACACTATTAAACATTTGGGGTCAGTACGATTTAAGGAAATTTAAAAAAAAAGACATATAATGTTACAAAATTTATTTGAAATAAATTCTTCAAAGAATCCTGAGTGTCAGTCACGCTACTAAATATTTTTGTGGTAACAGTTTAGAACATTGATAATAAATGCAGCAAATCAGCATATTAGAATATTTCTGAAGGATCATGTGACACTGAAGACTGGAGTAATAATGCTGAAAATGCAGCTTTACATCACCGAAATAAATTTCATTTTAAAATATAGAACACTTTCATTGTAATATTTAACAATATTACTGTTTGTATTGTGTTTAAATTAAATGAAATGAATGCAGCGTTGATAAGCATAATAGACTTCCTTAAATAACTGAACTTACAATACTGATTCCAAATCTTTGATTGTTATTGTAAATGTGATGTCACACATAAGTATGCCAACTGGTACTGAGGAAATTTCATCCGAAAGGTTAAAAATTCACCACCCCGTCGTTGCCAAGTCAGAAACAGTCCCAAACTGGAACAGAGGGGTCAAGGGCCCAGGGGCCTGCAGAGTAATGACACTGACCCACATTAAGGGTCTCGCTCAGAGACACATCCATCACCATGACAACAGTGTCACCTTGTAACCATCCCAGCCACTGCCTTGGGATGGCATCTGATCGCTGCTGATAATACCATGTCCAACACTGAAGGGCATTTTGCCGTTTGAATCATAATGGGGAAAAGAATGGCATATATCTGTAATCTGTCAAATCTGAACTGAGTTACATGGAAAAGGATTGCCCTTAATACATGGCAAACATCGTCTGAGAAGCATGAAGATCTGCACGGTATCAGTCACGTTTGTGCTGTCGAGGCAGCAGCACACATACAAAACAGCATATTTGAGCTGAACAGTGGTAAAACAACCAGCACTTCAGCAAATCTGGATAATGTGATTCAAACAAGGACCCGATCCAGCTAATAATGCATTGTAAATGTCAACTATTGGCATTTCAGATGACTGCATGCATTCGGTCAAAGAATGTGTTGGATTTTTTTAGTCTACTATAGACGCACAATACTAACTAATCAGGTTTTTCTTGAGTTAGATATTGGCTTGTTGCACACGTACCGGTACATACAGTATGAATGCAAGACACTGACCTATCAGTAATAATCAATTAGAAAATCAATTTCGTGCTGAACTTGATCTGAATTAAAAGTCCTTGTAATTAATAGAAACTAGCCTTTACCATGCCACCTATCATTTCAGAGTACAACAATAATGGGAGCTTTCATTATTTTCAAACAACATCTCACTGTTGACTGAACGCTGCCAACTGCATCCTGGGAGCCAAGTTTCTCATTAGAGCAGCTCCATTACAAGAGAATGAAAACAAGTGGATTTACATTTCCAGAAGGAAAAACTGCTACTAAAAAAGCAGCAAAAAGAACCATGTAACATTTTTAGTTAATCTCAGGTTGCTAGAGCCACTGTTGCAAACAGTAATCAACACATAGGCAAGTTCACACCGAACACTTTTTTTTTTTTGCATTTCACATTGCTGCCTTTAACTCTTTCCCCGCCAAACAATGAATTTTCTGGGCATCCGTGTTTTTAAATGTACAATTACATTGTAACAACCACGTTAAAATAAATCGGAACCAAAATCCAATTCAATAGTTCATGATTTCCTTCCCTATAAATCGTAAGCTTAAATTTAACATGAGTACTTTATTTATTATTAACATTAACAGATTTTACTATAATATTTAACAGTAATGTAATAATATGAGTACTGATTTACAGAGCCCAGGCACACAAGGGAAACATTAGTGGAAATTACATG